TGTGATTATAAAAACCAAGATAGGAATGCTGGCCTCAACAAAAAGTCATAAACTCTGATCTCCTGATCCGATTTGAATTTCAACGTTCCAGAGTACTCTCTGCTTTCTTATTCTTTAAGAAAACACTTGATTCGTGCATACAACGTTGATTTGTCTGATCAAATCCCAACTATTTATACAGTTTATAGTGAATCACTTCCCCAATCAGTCATACCTATTTTTGTACTCCTTCTGAACCACCAATTTACGGCATTCGCTTATTACATGATTGACAATTTACTATTTAGCTGTATTCTGCCTGTTTTAACGGTAATATTGCTGATTGTTATGAAATTTTAATCCTATGTAAGTAACAGGGATTCAATTTCTCACTTTAAATCTCCTCTAGGCAATAATCCCATGTTACTTCATCTATAACTTTTTTGTTTGTCCCTGGAAATGTCTTACTAGATATTTTTAATTCCATTTTTAAGTTCTCGTTTTAAAGCTTTGTGGTTCTCTATTTGATTTCTTTTCGAATCTTTTGTAACGGAAGATACACCGCTCACTACTCTGGTAAGCAAATTCACGCAAAATTGCCTTCCTAAAAGTCACGTGAACGTATGCTAATTATTATAATTATTATTATTATTGACCCTTTTAAATTTATTTTCTTTATTTTGATTCTACTATTTCTCTGCATATATTTTTAGATAACTGTGTGCTGTCTCCTAACATCCATTTTCTTCTGTTCATAAATAAGTCGACAGGTAGGCGGGTGATATGACTCAGATTGGCGGTCAGGTAGTTTCGTTCTTGGGGTCAGTCCAACATCACTGTTAGTTTTCTACCTCCTTCTTTGCTCACTATCACAACCTGCCAGGAATCTACTTGCCACAATAAAATGGAGGGTCTGAAAAAAATGTAATGTATATAATTTATCGTCCTGAGAAAATTACACAGAAGGATCATGAAACAAGCTGCATCTAACAATATATATATATATATATATATATATATATATATATATATATATATATGAAATAATCCTAAAGAGCCAGGAACAACCTACCTAGGTTTCACCTAAACGGATCTTCAGGGTAATATATATATATATAAAAGGGGACCTTCTTAAGAATACAAGATATACACTCACTGTTCACATTATTAGGTATACGTTTTTAGTACAGAGTTTTGCCCTTAGAACCACCCGAGTTCTTGGCATGGAATCGACAATATTCTGGAACCATTTATTCGAATTTAAGTTCCTGCTGTTATTATGGCATCCCGCAATTCTTCTATATTGGTTGCCTGCACATCCAGAGTTCAATTCTCCATTCCTATCACACCCCGAGTGTGTTTTATGGGACTGAGCTCTGTTTACTGTGAAAGCCACTTTAACACAAAAATAACTTAAATCACCTTTCTTTCATATACTGATGCATTATTGGTTTCCATGAACCAATCTTCCATTATTTTTTATTTGTGACACGGTTCCTTGTTCTGCTGGAAGTGGCCACAAGAGAATGGTTGCACTTAGTCAGAAACTGAGGCTCGTAGTAAGCTACAATACCAAGGTAGACTGTGGCATTTAAACGATCTTTTATTGGTGCCAAGGGTCCTAATGTATGCCAAAAGTTATTTCTTATACCATTACGCCATCACTAACAAAAGACGTTGATAAAAAGCTGGGTGGACCCATGCTTTCATGTTCTGGTCTTACTATACGATTGCTGTCAGCAGAAATTGAGATTCATTAGATCAGGCAACGTTTTTCCACTCTTTTTTTCTTTTTAAATATTTCTGAATTGTAGCCTCAGTTTTGTGTTCACATATAACAAGAGTGACACCTGGCGTGGTCTTCTGCTTCAAGGTTCGGCGTGTTGTGCGTTAAAAGGTGCTCTTCTGTATACCTTCGTCGAAAAGAGTAGCTATTTGAGCTACTGTTACCTTTTTTATCAGCTTGTACCAGTTTGGCCATTCTCCTCCAAACCCTTCCCTCTCACAGAATTGCTCCACAATGGATTCTCTTTTCCTTTTTCTGGCCATTCTCTTTAAACCTAAAGATGTTTATGTGTGAAAATCCGAGTAGATCATCAATTTGAATATTGAATATATATATATATATATATATATATATATATATATATATATATATATCGTAATCTGTATATATATATATATATATATATATATATAATTTTATTATAAGATATTAGAACAAAAACATGTTGAAATCGCTACACAATAACTTTCGTATTTCGGCACTACGTTGTGCCTCCCCAGGCGATGGTAGGTGACTGGTGATTAAATCATTTTTAACATAATTTCAAAAGCAAAGTGTTACTTCTTTTCCAAAGGATGAAGGGAGGAGTGAGAAAACACAAGGTCAGAATTAACTTGTGGGTTTGTCTTGATCAACCAATTAAATGTCACATCTACGCTAAATAGAAAATTAAGCTCAGAGGGTGAAGGTGGGGGAGTTGTTTTCCATGACACGATAAACCGAAACTTAGACAGGTCATTATATATATATATATATATATATATATATATATATATATATATATAAAGTTCAGAGCAGATAACATTAGAAAGATTTTAGAGTCCCATGAAAATAAGTGGATACAACGTCTAAAAACAAAATATCCAGCCGGGCTAAACCATAAATTTAACAATACAGATAACACCAATATATAACTCAACAAATCAAAACCTACCAACATTTCTCACCCACACAAGACAGACATGCCTACGGAGGTGTGGAGGCCTCACACTTATACACTTATACACACACCCACACGAATATACACACTTACATACATCATACTCACTCACCCCCTAATGAGCCAAATGATAACACACCCCCACAGCAATACACATGCTTACACATATCATACTCACTCACTCCCTAAGAACCAAATAACACACACACAAACACTAAACAGAGACACATCCCCTCACCAGGTCCAATAAAACTGTCAAACTGACCAGAGAATTCAGAGCAGCATGTATCTATCCAGCTCTTATCTCAAATAACAAGTTAAAAGAGACTGTTTGACCAACACAAGGATTGTTAAAAAAAATCATGTTAAAAAGATAAAAAAAAAAAAAAAAAATGAAAACTACAGACAAAAGTTCATTTTCTCCAGCAAAAGATTTATTTCTGTAGTTTACTGCTACCAGCAAGCAGAGATATTTCTCCTCCCGATGATGGCCATTTTGGTCGAAACTAGTCGAGGAATCTAAATGAAATAATAATAAAAAAAACCCGAAAGAATACTAATCTAAAACCCAATGTGTCTAAAGATCTTTTCAATATTTTTTTATTGTTCAATATATATATATATATATATATATATATATATATATATATGTTCAATACTTCACTAAAAAAGAGTATACCTTGATGAAAAAAGGCCCAAAACTTGATTCAGCAATTTTTTATCGTCTAAATGTTTATGTTATTATTAAGAGGAAAGACCAAAGTATTTTTTGAATATTTAAAAAAAAAAAATTTTAAAACTTTCTAGCACGTCCGAAATTTTAGCTAAAAATGATTTTTTTTTTTTTAGTCATCAAAATCTACATAAAATCGATCATGTCAGACATTTCTGACAGTTTTGTAAACAAAAGTGAAATTCTGCGTTGAAAAATCTTGTAAAATTCAGTTATACCTTTTTCAAAAGTTATTTTAGGAAAATTAGGAAATTTAAAGTATATTTAATGTAATTTGAAACAAACATTACTTAATTTTTTAGCAGAAAAAAATTTACTTGGAAATAAGAGAAGCATGTCTAACAGTGGCGATTGGTTTTCGAGGTGTCAATGTATCGACAATTAACGTCAGGGTTATTTGTCGGACGGAAGGGCAGAAGTGAAGTATTTTCAAATTTTTAGTGAACCAGCTTATTTAACTATAAAGTAATTCTTAAAAATTAAATACTTTCAAAAGTTAAATAATTTATTGATTTTATTAGATACTTTTGTAATGAAGAGATGTCCAAAGCCTGCACTGTTTCCGTCACTAAAATTGAATCTAAAATGAAAAAATTAATAATTGCTGTCTGTCTCTCACTTAAAAAAAAAAACAAAAAAAAGAAAATTAAAAATTTTGCAAATTCGCTGATGATGGCCGGTCAGTCAGAGAATATGATACGAAATCAACGCAATTTATCAGGCTGGATCCTCGCTATCAGAAGAAACAACACTTAAAACACGGGATATTATTTCTGAATTGTGTCTCCGTACTTTTGCTGGAAACGTTTTTAATACATTTTTTGACATATTAAAAAATTATTGTAAAAATAGGATGCTTCGTAGATTGTAATAAGCTTTCAAATTTATCATCTAAAAAATATATCTTTTAATAAGATCATTTTCAGAGATGCTCATATATGTTAATAATTACTATATAATGTTTAATATTGCTTTTTTTTCAATAAGATTAAATAAACTTCCTTCATCTTTTACATCCATATGCTAGTCCCGGTTATTTTAATTGCCAAAATATGCAAAGATTTTTAAGGAATTTATTAAATATTTTCTTACATTTTTTAAAGGGATATAATTAAAAAAAAAAAAGCAAAAAAAAACGATGTTCCCAATATATACATTATTTAACTGTGCCAGCATTGCGGTAAAAAGGTTTGTTTTTTTTTTAAATTCAATTTGCGTAAGAGTCAATCTAAACTCAGCACTTGCATGTAGCTCAGAGAGTCATGCGAATGATGAAGGATATAATATATATATATATATATATATATATATATATATATATATATATATATATATATATATATATGTGTGTGTGTGTGTGTGTTGTCAAATTTCTTTAAAACATACCCACAGCACAACTGTCCATTTACAACTCCAGGAGCTCTTTCCTTATTTAACACCAATGAGCAGAAACTCCTGTTAATGCACCTTAGCCTCATAAGATGTTACTCCTTTTTCAGATGTGACCAATGTAGAAATAGTGGAGTAACAAGTCTAAGGATTGACTAAACTTTCTTTAAAAGCAAAATTGAGGGATAGACAAGGAGTGAAAGCCAGCTATCCATCTATCTATCTATCTATCTATCTATCTATCTATCTATCTATCTATGCGAAGTTGTGCCTATTCACAATACTGCATTAATAATAATTAAGATAGTTATCATAGACACGACCATCATATTTTCAACATTCAAGTTCAACATGGCTGTCTTCAATTTTGTAATAGGCACAAAGTCTGTATGAATCTTTTTCACCACCATCTTCATCGAGACAACCGATTTGAATTCTATTCTAAGCACCAACAGACAGTCAGATATAAACGGACTAGTGAACTAACTGAAGTTAATGAACAGGCTAAATTATTTAATAGATAGATATGACCTGACTGAAATATTACATTTTTTTTCTTCTTGCTTTTTTTTTACCATTTCAACTGCTATGGTTTCCATAATTCAAAATGTTATATAGTCTAGAAAAATATATCAAAACATAAGAAAGTTATGAACGCGAAGTCTGAAGACTAAAATTAAATAATTACTGAGTCGACAGTTGATAGGGTTCCTGGGCTTTTGTAAATTAATATTAATCGTTGCTCCTTGTGGATCCTCGCGCAAAATAATGGCGTTTTTGGAGGGCTTATTTTTTTTAATTGACTGTAGTCGGAATACAACTGTCCATTGATTATTCCATGTGAACTCTTTTAAAAACGTCAGTGGTTATTTTTCATACAATTTCTACATTCATTTATTATATTTGTTTGCTTTCTTTTTTTTTTTTTTTTGTATTTTGGCGCGTAAAATGAAAGCTAATTTAGCGATTCATCCTTGTAGTCCGGAAAGACTAAAGCTAAAAATGACGTACGAGCATCTCTATCCGAACTGAAATATCACGAGTTACGTAACTAGTTATATTAATAGAAAAATGCAACATTCAAGACCTGTATATTAATACAGGTCTTGAATGTTGCATTTTTAACATTTTAACTTTAACAAGCAGTTCCACAGATCATTATCTTATTATAATTCTGCTTGTCCCTCTCTTAGTTCCTTAGTTGGCATGTGCGTTATACCCTGCCATAAATAATAGACTATTCCGTTTTGATTACGTGGAAAGACGAATAGGGTGTAACAAAGATGTTACTTAGTTTCAGTGAGAAAGAAAGAAAGAAAGAAAGAAGAGGCGATACATTTAACCTGTTTCAGTGAAATGGAAAAGTTATCAATTTCAAATCTTTCCATTTGTATCCTCTCACTTCTTTAAATAAAGACAAGCATTTATGTCTATGTTTGCTATTGCAATATTTTCTTAAATTTGTTAAGCTCAAATATTTAACGATGTGACATCGGATATTTTATTGTCGTAGAACTGGCCATGAGCACTTATTCAATCTTTAACTTAAAATTATGATTAATCAGAAAATTCAAATAGGAAAACCGTGAAACTTTCAGTAACTGATAAATGTGTCCGATCTTTACTGAGTGTTCTATTTTGTGCTTTTTTGTCAGTAAGTAAGCTAAGCTGAGTGAATAAGTACAACCAAAAATTTGTCCATTAAAAATTACTTACCCTAACATCTATTTTTCTACTGATTCTTTCGAAGGAGGCGACTTAAGCAATGACACAAACGTATTCAGTAAAGATCACTGTTCCCAAAATAGTCCGTAGTATATTCGTTTCGCATGTGAATATCACAAATTCGGTCTGCGTGTGTGCGGTAAAAATATGGCGAGATTTATTTAATTGACCCAAATGTATGAAAAAATATAAAATATATAGAAATAGATTTTTTTAGATTTATTTTATAATTTAGTTCACAGACATTTATATCAGTAATGCCAAGTATATCAGGGGAATAACGTCTTAAAATAATGATGTTGTCGTCAACTCCGAAAGTTTCGAGTATGTTATTTAATTATTATACTAGCTTCTTTGCTAAGTAATAGCACACTTTTTCGGCAGGGGTAAAAATAGATGCAAACATAATTAATTTCGAGCTGAATTTCATTGTTTTATATATATATATATATATATATATATATATATATATATATATATATATATATATATATATATATATAACTGGGTGACCGTATTATAAACAGTGAAATTCAGACTAAATGCAACATGGCAGGTATTGAAGCCATCCTAATGAAAATCCAACTCCAGTGGACAGGATATCATTTTATGAGCGATAGCAGAGTTCCAAAATAATTACTCTTTGTTCAACAAGCAGGTCAGTTGGAAAGCTCCTTTTGCGCTTCAAAGACAAACTCAAAGGCAATCTGAAACGATGCAACATCTCCTTGCCTTCCTGGGAAAACAATGCGACAGAGCGACGGATCTTGTGCCTATCTTGCTTCTCATTTATACAAAGGTTTGAGTGTGGTCGACTTGAACATCGGGATCAATCAGTGTAAATATTAAAGAAAGTTGATAGCATGTCGCTTCTCTCAATGATAGGCTTACCTGTCATTGTGGCTTTGTTGCACGCAGTGAAGGCAAGCCTTCCTGTCCACTCGTGGAAGCATGTGACAATTGATTCTCAACCACTGGAGAGAAACGGGTCTACTCCATGTTTCATCTGTCTAAAATGCTGCAAAACATCTGCAGGCCTCAGAAGATAGATGCGTGCCCATAGAAATTGAACCCCTCTTTATTTTATTGAGGTTCGTTTGTCGTCCGAGACGAGAGATACCACCATATCTATCTATCTATCTATCTATCTATCTATATATATATATATATATATATATATATATATATATATATATATATATGTATAGATAGATAGATGAAATATATATATATATATATATTAACCCATTTACGCGCCCTTGCTGCGCGTCACAGATTTTTGTAAGAAAATGATGATTGATTTTAAATCATTGTAATAATTTGTGGACAAAAATTATGCGTTTCAATATTACTCAATGATCTTGCCGATGTGACCCCCTTCTTCTGGCTTTCTCCTTCTATATTTTGCATAGGAGTCATTCACTTGTTTAAATTTAAATTTAATTTAAATCAAAGAAAAAAAAAAGTTTTCGGTTGGGTGTTTGTGCAAAAACTGTTCGATATGTATTTGATGCAATACTTGATTGAATGAATTGATGAGTATATTTCAACATTGATATGACAGCTGAATTGTCGCAACAATATGTATTGTAAGGCACTACCTATTAATTGCTGATTTATTGCTCGCCTTGATGTCCATATTGTCTCATTTTGACCTTGCCGATGTGACTTCCATCTTCTGACTTTCTGCTACTATATTTTGGATACGGGTCATTCCTTTGTTCAAACTTAAATTTAATTTAAATCAAGGGAGAAACTGTTTTCAGTGGGGGATTTGTGTCCTCCGGGGACCCCCTTTTGATCAAAATGAAATATACTTATCCAAGTACCCTAGGTAATGTAGTTTCAGAATATATGTGTTTATGGGGGCCTATCTCCAAAACACTAGGAGAAGTTCAATAACAAACAGACAGACAGAAGCTACAATTTTATATATATATCGATTGTTTAAAATTTATTCTGCTGAGGCAGTGTTGATTCCAATGTTCACATTGTTCATGCCTACATCTATAAATGTTCTATCTCAGGTATTTAGGACTCTTTCCCTATAATTATAGCAAACATTAAACAATATACAGTGGGGTTCAAATATCTGTGCATATACAAATTTTTAATTTATTCTATTTCCATCTAATAAATAAACATATTTTTCATATAATTAACTGAATATGCATAGAAAACAGAAAATATTTTGATTTAATAGTAACAAATCCCATTTATCCATTTTAATGTGTGAAAAAGTATTCGTACAATGCAAATATCAGTTTTTTTAAACTTTTAAATTGCTTTAATACTCTACATTCTTTAAGTACAATATTCTAGAATATTTCAGTAATGTTCATTGTTTACATTATTCGGACTATTGTCCTTATCTTTGTCGCCATATTTATTACAACGTTTCAGCCGTTGTACGCTCCGGCCTTCTTCAGGTGGTTGGAATGTCTAACTTAACCCTTTATTTCAATAATGTTATCAGTAGTTATTTTTAGCCTAAAATACAAACAGAATGTTCTGTAATTGATATTTGTGCAATAAGGTTATCATCAGGGCAAGAGGTAAATAAGTGACAAATTCGCAAAAAGAACTGATTGTTAAGCTCTGGAAAAAAAAATGAACAGGTGCTCCACGGAATATTTCTTCAAGATATTCGACGAAATTCATGCGCAAAATTAAACAAAATCCAATGGTTACTCAAGAGTTGCAGGATGATTAGCTTTTATCAGGAATCTGTGTCGCTGAACGGACAATAAGCAAAGAAATTCAGAGGTGGAATATAAAGTCACGCTACCCTCGGAAAGCTCCACTGCTACTGAAAAAACACAGGGAAGCCAAGTTGAAATTCGTTCGTGAATATAAGGATAAGGAAAAATCGTATTGGGAAAGAATATTATGGACAGACGAAACCAAAATTGAGTTGTTTGAACGTAATTCTAAAAATCATGTATGGATGGCGATGTCTTCAAATACAGCTCCAACAATGGAATTTGGTGGTGGCCGCATAATGGTTTGAGGATGTTTTTCTGCGTATGTACTGGCAACATATTAGTAATAGATGGTAGAGTGAATGCCGTAACACATTACAATATTTTGGAAACAAATTTAATGATTTCGGTTGCAATCTTGAACTTCCTCTTGATTGGATCTTTCAACAGCATAATGATCCTAAGCACACTGCAAAATCTACGAAGAAATGGCTTGCTAAATGTAAATATCCTGAAATGGCCAAGTTAGTCCCCAGATTTAAATCCAATCGAGAATCTGTGGCCTTATTTGAAAATTCAAATCCAATCGAGAGCTTCAATAAACATCCAGGATCTGAAGACCATATGCAAAGAAGAATGGACTAAAATACCAACTAAAATTTGGAAATCATTAATTGAGAACTACAATGTTGCTGTAGGAGTGAATAATGGCTATTCTACAAAGTATTAAATGAATATTATGTATTGTTTTTGTATTGAACGAATACATTTTTCACCCATTAAAATGAATAAATTTATTTCTATTAAATCATTTTTCTATTTTCTATGCATATTATGTTTCATCACCATTAATGTGTCTCTTCAG